CACTTAAGAAGATTTGCAATCTATTGAATTTTATTAAGAAAATATTTGTAACTTGACATTAATATAGTTGAAATATGAAAATGCTGATCAAGGGGTTTCACTTAAAGATTAGTTTTTCCGAACCCGATGATAAGACAGATTGAATTTTGGCATTGAATGTATAAAAAGAACATAAAGATCCATATTCTGTATATATCCTGAAATAAGCGATAACCTATTTTTTAACTATACAATGAAGTACGTTGCTTCGTAAAAGGGGTATGGGAAATTAGCGTATTATATATATAGTTTAGGGTTGGGCCAAACTTGCGTAATGACATTACTAAGAAAAAGATAGAGTTAAGATACGCCACTGTTGAGAGCATTTGTTGTGGATAGCAATATCCGAAAGTATAAATAGATGACGGCCCAAAATTGGCATTTACATCAATTTAAGACACATGAAATAATGTATTTAATTTTATACCGTAATCACATTTAAGTGACAGGAAAGAGGATGTGTACAATTGTATGTACATAACAACTCGCATTTTATCAAATTTGCAGCCATTCAAATAAATTTTACTACTATTTTATTAAAATATTTGAAAAAACAACATGATCAATTTCCTTAGACATTCGAAGGATAGACCAGTTCTGATACCCCCCAAACTAAAAGAAGGCAAACTCTGAATTTAAACCAGGAGCCAGAATGATCAACAAATTGATCGTGGGCCGCTCAAATATAAGAAGAAGAAGATATTTGAATAACATGATATTTGTCATAAAAAGCTATTTTATTTCAAAATAAATGTGTAGGTGGTATAGTAATGTCGGAAAATGCTGTTTAAAGGCACTGCCATATTGTGGACACTTTTAAATAATTATATACATAACTCCAAACTATGAAAAGTTAGAAAGAGGAAAATAAGAAGTTCAATTTTCTTTGAAACCAATAATATCATTATTTTTTCCATGTATCGAAATGTATTGTTTGAGAATGACATAAATTTTATGCAACTATTTACAAAGAAACATATATGTTTGTATTAAAAATATATACACCAAATTATGGAAAAATTACATTTAAAATCTGAAAGATCTAGAGTTGGAACATTTTTATGTGGATAATTATATCTAAAACCCAATCATTGTAAGATTTGTAAATACATTCTTTTTTTCTTTCAAATTTCCCAAAAATTCAGATGAAATATAAAAAAAAAAATGTTCCACTTGCTCAAATTCCGGTTTAAGGGGATGGGAGATTTTATGAGATTTAGAATCATTATTAAAAATAAAAGAATGTTTATGACGTGAAAGTTGTTTAAGAGATGAGTTTTTTTTTAATATAACAATGTATTTTTAACAATTTTCCGTAAATATTAATCGGGAGCAAGTTAGAGGTTGGGTAAATTTAAATGAAACCACAATTATCATGCATTTCAGTGCTACTGAAAATTAAAATTGTACACTTATTTTAAAATGTTGTCTAATTTTAGAATAAACATTTTCTTTGTAGTGTAAGGTCCTTAAAAAAGTGTTGGTAAAGCCTATATTATATAGAGGAAAATAATTATTAGAGTCCAATAATGTAAGAAACGTAAATAAATATACAAAGATTCTCTTGCAAAAAAAAACAACAACAAAAGTTTGATTTACTATTTCCTAAATATACATTTGATAATTGTATTTAAAAAAACAAATTGAAGATACGATAATTATATAAAAACCCGATGTAGTTACATATTAATACATTTGATTTCATGTGTTGAAACGTTTGCACAGTATGAAATCGATTATCACCACAGAGGCGCCGGGTCATATATCCTTAATAAAAATATTTTCATTACAATTCGATAATCTGTTAATTGATTTTTATCAGAAAAGAAATGAAACAAATTTTGGTTGGAAAATTAAATCTTATTTCATGGCCTAAATCTGTTATATTTTAATGCTCAGTATTTGGAATCTCTTTGGTCTTAATGACACGTCAACAGGAGGATAATTATAATAACAATATAAAGAAAACAAATTTTTGAACATCTTGTTTTACTCAACAAACACACAGGCTTACATTAAAATATTGTTTTATGAAATATAAATTGCTAGTAAAACAGTCAGCAAGTAGCAAAATATTTCGATTAGTCGTTACAAAGTAAGGATCCTTAAAAGTTAAATATGCCAAAGATCCTTCATCTACATTATTTTCATAGTTTTTGAAATGTTTATTTTTTTATTTTAAAACTCACCTATTTATCATCCTACTCAACTATTACCTTAATTAAAGCATAAACTTAGATTTATTTTATAATTTCATCATATGAAGATTTTTGGATACGGTTATTTATGACAGCATTCAAGTATTTGAGTAAACGTTTTCACTATCCGTGAACTTTGACTTGTTTAAGTTGTCTGTTGCTAATAACAAGTTTATCTGCTGATAGTCTCCAAAGTTAGTGTAGGATGACGTAGTCTCATTGTAGCGATGTAACACTTGGTAGAGTATTCTGTACTGATCCTGATTGATAAAGAACAAAAGAAAGCGCTAAATATCACACATTGATTCTTGGCATAGATAATTATTCCCAAGTGTGTATAAGCCGAATGCAATAAAATTAATTAAGCATACAATTTACGATAATGTATAAATTATTATAAGATAAGGATAATTTTACAAATTTAACATTGAAAAATGTTTAATTTATAGTTGCTTCTTTTTTAAACAGTAATAAAAGCTTTATTACCAGTGTAGGAATGACCTGTGGTCTAATAGATTTAATGGCTCCTACAACAAGTGGTACGGTTAAGCGAAGGTCATTGTCCATTCTGTCCAGCAATAAAGTCAGTACGCAAGCCAGTCCACTGTACCTGGCTCCATCTCTAAATCAAAGTAACAGTTGTAAATGTAGTTAATGGATTAGATTAACAGCTAGCTTCTAACTTATTCAATTAGTGACAAAAATCTAATTAAAAAATTATTAAAATGGTATCAATTTTTACTATGTTTTTAAATCTAAACTTAAGTTTGTTACGAACCCTTTTTTTAAAGTATCATAAGTTTATAATACCTGACTATTATTATTTTTTTAATGTTTGAAAAGACTCACCTGCACATGTAAAGAACCCGTTCCTCTCCCGGTGACCTACACGACCTGATGTGTTTAACTAATAGAAGAAGATTCTTGACATCCAGCTCAGTAGAGAAACATTTCAAGAGAGATACTTTTAACTGGCCAAACTGTAGACAATAGCAGATACATTTTAAAAAAAAAAAAAATAAGTAGCTGGCTACACTTTTAAAGATTATAAATATATGGTGTTATTTTTTTTTAAAATAATGGTTTTTACTTACATTAGGCTAATAGTCTATTTAAAAGATTAATAAACATTGGATTGTTATATGAAATACAGATATTCAAGGGATTTCTTGGCGTTTAAATGTTGAATTTTAATAAAGCTTTTAACTTTCCTTAATAATTATGAAGTAACAATATTCGTTAATGGAGTAGAACAAGCTAACTATTTGTTACAGATCAGTTAAACATTTTAAATGATTCACATATATGTAAATCCTGACTATATTCATTGAATGTACATATTATGTATTGCACAATAAGATTTTTATAAATTTGTAATGGGTGGGATATTTTTACAACTGTGTAGCAGCTGTATTATTTTGTATCAGCTGTAAATGTTTTAGGATTTTAAGCCTGTAAAATAAAAACAAAACTTTAATATATTGATTGAACCTACTGATGTCAGATGAGTAGATTTCTTTTTTGGCCTGATTGATAGTTGTAACTCCTCCCACAAAGCTGATTTCTTAGAGGAAAGTATATGTATTTCATTGGTTCCCAATGTCAAGGACTCGCCTGGCATAGAGGGGAGATAATCTGCAATAGTCTGAACAAACGCAACACAAATTTGAGTCAAGAAGTGTTTATGAGAATATTGATACATGGAAAATATTTACTAATTCTCATTAATCAATGCATTTCTTGAACATTATCGGCTGTTATGCATCTTCTTTTTACGTCGGTAGGTCTACCTATTGTTATATAACTTTGTAACTAATATTCACCGGGTCAGTAGACTGCAGGTGAAATTCAAACTCTACAATTATAGACACTTTGTAGTCCATGACAAGTCTCCAGAAGTCAACAACTGTGGTGGCAAGTGGAAGTTGGGTCAGAACTTGCTGGTCTTTCTTTTTCAAACTCTAGAAATAAGCAAAGATTGAGTGAAATAATTCATTAGCTTTCCAGAAACAACATGTATTTGGCTAAACTTTGCTAAGTTTTAATTAAAAAGTAGACACTGATTGTTCAAACAGAAATGTCATAAAGAGATGAAAATAATGCCCAAGTTTAAATTTAGTTTAGATGAGGAAAGAGTAAGAAAGAGTCTCAAATTGTGCGTGAGATGAAAAAAGCTGATTATCAATAACAATTAAAAATGTGTCCATGTGACTTTAAAAAAAAACATTATTGAAGTAACAAATTACATTAACAATAATTTCAAAAGTATATCCACATTACCGGAACAATGACGGCATTGATGTAATCTCCTGATTGGCTGCCGTCAGGAATCAATAAAGCACTGTAAGCTTTTTCTTTGAAACGACAAAGTAAATTTAATTCTATTATAGGAAATACATTCATCATGACGAAGTAAAAACATTTAAACACACCGCTTAAAGGTACATGAAGTTTCTTTGAGCGATCGAGATCTCTGACCTTTTTTAAAAATCTTTATGTGTGTCCATAGAAAATAAGGTAGATTGATCACTGAATTACTTTTTAAATATATAAAATTAAACCAATTTCTTTAGCTTAATATAGCTTTTTTCGGATGAATGGAAAAATGATTTTTTTTTTTGGTTGATGATTATTTATAATAATGTAATTCAGGGCTACTTTAAATGTTTATTTGCATGCAAAATCCATTTATTAATTTTAAATAATGCCTATTGAAGGAACATATTTACCTGGTAAAATATCAGGACATCTATTTTTCCCTATGGCAGAGTTGTTCACATTGTTTTCGTAAACACTTTCATCTTGTTCTGTGTTCTCAACTTCTTTAATGTGTTTGGTGAAATCCTCACTCACCAAGCACACGGCCTATTTATTTAAAAATATTATAACTGGATGCATTGTGTTTTTAGTTAACAAAAAGGCATCAAATTTAAGATTGCTTTTAAGTTCTGAGAAGAGGGAAATTTAATATAGTTTTAGTTTTTATTACTGCATCCATAATTGATTTTTTTGTGGAAATTTTAAAGATGATAACTCCTAAATACTATTTGTTAGAGTATACACGCTTAATTTGCAGTCGGCAAAAATGAATCCAGAGTATGCATTCTCTATGCTATTTAACAAATAGCTAATATGTCTACATGGCCTCATTATGATTAAATGCTTGTTTTATATAGACTTCGTATTACAAATAATAAGACCCACATCATATCAAAGACAAGAAATACGTCAGTCATGCCATGCTGAGCCACCAAAATGGAAGCAAGTCCATAATTTTTTAAAACAGAGATGATTTTCAATACATGAAGGACTGCGTCCAAGCCTCAGCTAAACATGTTAGATGATATTTAAGCCTCATTCATTTTATGATTTCAGATTTTACCTGAAATTCAGTCTCCATTTTAGTGCGGCCTTTGAAAATTTCCTGTTCCAGAATTCGAATCCTTTCTGTGATATCTCTTGATGTGACTGTTGTTCTCATACATACTATGGCAACCTGTGCTGCTCTGTGTAAGAATTCGTACTGAACCTAATGAATAGAGAAGCATACACATATAAAAAAACATGTTTAAGTCTTTTCACTTTCCTTAAGCTATTGAATTTTGAATAATTAAAATAAAACTTTGAATTAAATCCTTAGATTTTGTTATTATTATTTATATAGCTCTCTTAGTTTGCCCTCCCTGACTTCACTCAGTGTTAAATAAAGATGAGGCTATTTACCGGGGTTTGAATCATCATGACCCTGTCTTGTCTCAATTTGACAAGTGTCTTGTAGAAGTCAATCCGACCTGTGTCTTCTGCTTCTTTCATAACATTACATAGAGCAATAAATGTCCCTGTGCGACCAACACCAGCGCTGACATATGAAAAGTAAAATATTTCAACGCAACTTTACAGTCTAAAATTATAATATAATAAGGTTAAAACAATTTTGTCTTTCATTATTACATCAAATAATTTAAGCGATAAAAGGATTATGTTGTGAAAAAGAAAATCCCAAACATAGTGTAAACAGAAATCTAACATGTAAATGTAGCATAGTGTTATACAGTTAACTAACCTGCAATGTACAACTACAGGCCTTGTCGTAGGCTCAGATGCGACCCTTTGTTCAAAGTCTACAAGACTCCAAGGTGTTAGTGGAACGCCTTTGTCTGGCCAGGAGGTGAAGTGGAACTGCGTCATTTGATGGACGGGTTCATCTTTCTAATATGGCACAGAAGAACAACAATTTTATTTTACAATTATACAAGTTATACTTCAATAATACAAGTTATACTTCGTTAATACAAGTTATACTTTAATAATACGAGTTATACTTCGTTAATACAAGTTATACTTCGTTAATTCAAGTTATACTTCAATAATACAAGTTATACTTCAATAATACAAGTTATACTTCGATAATACAAGTTATACTTCAATAATACATGTTATACTTCGTTAATACAAGTTATACTTCGTTAATACAAGTTATAATTCAATAATACAAGTTATACTTCGTTAATACAAGTTATACTTCGTTAATACAAGTTATACTTCAATAATACAAGTTATACTTCAATAATACAAGTTATACTTCGTTAATACAAGTTATACTTCAATAATACATGTTATACTTCGTTAATACAAGTTATACTTCGTTAATACAAGTTATACTTCAATAATACAAGTTATACTTCGTTAATACAAGTTATACTTCAATAATACAAGTTATACTTCGTTAATACAAGTTATACTTCAATAATACAAGTTATACTTCGTTAATACAAGTTATACTTCAATGATACAAGTTATACTTAAATTTAAAATTGAAATAAGATTAGCAATACACTTTAAAACCAAAGTAGCTACGCGTCCATTATAATTGAGTAGCCACCTTTCTAAGCTCCAGTTGTCTGATTGTGTAGTCAGCAAACACTTGCGTGGACGCCAGTCTGACCTTTATGTGACCAAACACAACCTTTCCCTCTTCTGGCCAGTACCTTTCACATTTAACCTGCAAAATAGATGATTCAAAGTCTATTTATGTCAACAATCGTGTCCGGGCTTAATGCATGGACTATCGGACGGAGATTTTTTTCAACATTCAGGACTCTAAAACTAATGAAATTTATAATTTTTACTGCAAACTCTGGATGAAAATGTATCTTGGCCGTTCAAACAAAAACAAAAACAAAATATTATTTCTGTTTCTTGGTAATAATAGATCACACTCTGGTCATATACACGAAATTCGTACGCTAAAGTCATGGACCAACTTTAATTCTCTGAGTTGGAAGGAAAAACTTAACTTAACTTCTCAGAGGTCGTTTGGAATGTCATTGACTGACCTTTCATTTTTATTCCTAGCGTTCATGCTGGTTTAGCTAAGTTTTGATGAAATATTCGTCTTCAGTTAAAAGAGAGGCTGTTTGTTTATTTTTTTAAAATTTTTAATATCGTGTTTATAGATAACTTTTACAGAATTAACATGTCGTTATTGACCGAGTTTCATGAGCTGGTAATTTTTCATTTAATAAATATTCACATTATGTTCCAAATATATAACTCTAACTCATCATGCCAAGCAGCCGTCTTGTGTAGGACAAATATTAAATAATAGGTTCTTTGTTCAGTTATTTTCATTATACCAGCTAATGATGACTCAAATGTGAGGGGAAAAAAATGCCAGGCAGCACAAGCAAAGAATTAGATCAGCTTAATCCAACATCGAGACATTAATTTGATGAATTTACACCACATTGCTAATGACTGACTTTTTCCCTCAAACAATTATTGAAGACGTTATTTAGTACACTCAATTTCGTAGCATAGTCTTAAAATTGGTAACACAATCCGACATTTTATTCCATCTTGTGTGCACAAAAAACATGAAAGCAATCTCTGCCTTTTTAAATCAGTGCTGGAAAATTTTACTATTTCGTATTATGAATCGCTCTATTCGACCAGATATTTTAAAAATTAAAGGATCATTAATAAAAATATGTTTCCCGTGGATGACATCCGGCGTGGAAACATTATCAATTGGATGTATAAGAGAATCGATAGGTGTAATATAAAATATGTTTACTGACCTGACCCTCCTCAATCAAGTTTGTCAGCATCACAACTTTGTCTACTTTTTGCTCCCACAACAAGCGAACAAAGTCATTGAGGATGATTTTATTGGGACCTGTTAATAAAGTAAATCACTGTTGTGAATATAAAACCTAAGTCGCGTTGTAAATAATGTGATTATTTGTCCGTGATATAATGACGTTTGTTATGAAATTTGAATACAGTTATGTTTTCTATGCCAGGTTGTTTATTATAAAAGTTATCCATAGATATTAAACAAAGAAAATGTTATTACTCCTATGTGGATGTACATGATATTTAATTCGAATGTTCGTTTCTATGCCCAATTCATCTTAAAGGGGTAAGAAAGGTGAAGTTATTATAGACTTGAGAAAACGAATAAAATTAGATGTAATGAAACTCATACATAGACAACACAATTGGGAACGTTTTTTTTCTGAAGCTTTACTTTGGTACTTGCATATTATAGTTCTGTTGGAAGAGATGGGCAGAACTCGTGTTTCAATATTATTACACCAAAAAGGAACACGTACCTTGACTAGCTATGAATTTGTCTCTATCCATATACCCCTGTAAGAAGAGATATCAATTAAATGATAATATGTATGGCATATGTATTAGGTCTACATAAAGGATTTCAATACTAAGTTTTTCGAAGAGGAAAACTGATAACTTAATCAGGATTACGGTAAGTTGAATTATATTTTTTATTTAAGAAATAATTCTAAGTCATAGTCCTATTGCAAAAAGGTGGAATTAGTTGTTTTTTTTTTCATATAATGACTTAGTTTATTAAAGTTAGTATTTCTTTCATTTATACATTATGACAAGAGTGCTAAATAATGACAGTAAGGGATGTCAAGAGTGTTAAATAATGACAGTAAGTAATGACACAGGTGCTAAATAGTCAGAGAACGTAATGACAAGAATGTTAAAACACTAACTGAGAAGGTCAGAGCTCAGTGTGATATGAGAAGTGTGCTTTGAATGTTTACAGAATACAATGTCACCTCAATGTATGAAGCATTTATATAATCGCCTTCATTTCTTGATGTGTCTATCTTCAGGTGGACTCGCGAGTGATCGTCTGAAAAAAAAATGTAAATGATTACCTGTAGACGTGTGTTTTTGAAAGCTACCTGACCATTTGGAAAACCAATGCAGCTGATATAATCTATACGGTAAACGTTTTAATTGAGAGGCTAGTTATTGAGAGTAGTTAGAAACTTTAGAAAAACATAAAGCTGAAGAATATCAATTGAAATTGAGATACGGATGTATTTAAATCTCTTTTTTTTATGATTTATACGTCATTAAGCTTATGTCCCCATTAATAATATGATTTATGAAACGTAAGGGCTTACTTACATGTGCAAATATTTTTGTATCTGTTCTTGTGTTTGTTTGCATCACTCTGTCCAACCTCCACGGACACGTTCAAGGGAGGGGGGATATTCTGGGAGACATATGTTTGTTACAAGTGCTTGTCATATAGGTTTAAAGATGCTATTTTAGTAAGGCCATAAAGAAAATATTTTGGAAAGCTGAGATTGAACTATTAACATTTAAAATGAGTTTAACTGGAAGCCGTGGTATAACAATCTCTGGTTTCATCTTCAATGATATCCTTTGCTAAATGTTTCTTCCATGACTTAATTGTATAAAATTGTGTCGACATGTGAAAGAAAGACTGTTTAAATGCTTAAAAAACTCAAAATGGTTTGTAAATATGTCTTTGATATTTTAAAGCTAATTACATTAAAGTAGGCCTTTTTATTTTAAATTGCTAGGCAGTGAAGTCCTGCAACCCATCGGCCTGATAAGGAACTCGGGTATTATAAGCCCAAATTTGTTACATAGGGGAAAAAATTAAACTTAAATGTACATGCACGGAGAAAAAAATCAGAAAAGGGCAGTAGCCCCCCCCCCCCCCGTCTAGCGATGGTTCTGCCTAAGTCAAGATTCATTTTAAAAAATCCTAACAGTTTGAAAGTTCCTTCTATTGAGGCTTAATAATCAGTTCATATACGGCTTTTAAATAGCCTATAATAACTCTCTTACTCTTATGTGAATCAAGCTTCATCATACGTAACCAGTCAAAGTAAACCGATGACCTAACAAAACAGTTTGTATGTAAAAAAAACGTTCATATTTAATATTTATTTAAAAAATTTGATACTTTTTAAGAGTTCATATTCCTCCATGTATGGTAATATGTTCACCTTTCCTTGGATTAACATTGTATCTAAAATCTATTGGAGTCGATTCGAATCTTGGCCAATGTAGATTAATTTGTGTTTCGACTGCTTTGAAAAATAAAGTTAAAATACTGATATTAACAGACCTTAAACTGCTCCGTAAAGTAGTCACCTTTATGAAGGCGCATAAATTCATTCAAGTCATTGACAGCTATAGATGTGTCTTTGATCATGGGTAGA